GATCTCAAATATAGTTAGTATTTTATTGATTGAGCTGTTATATAGTATGTTTTAATTAATGAAGATTAAGATTTTTTTTTAAAAATATTTTATTTATATTGATTATTTTTTTTAAAATAACCCGCAGAAAATTAGTTGGGAAGATCTAAACAGAAGATTTTGACAATTTAAAAATCTGAATTTCTTAAAAACAATATTGGATAGATATGTTTTAAGGGTATTTGACTAAAAATTTAGGTTTACATAAAATGCAATTAGTTTTTTTAAGATTATATAACTCTTAAGTTTACATAAAATGTAATTATTTTTAAGGAATACATATTTCTTTTTATTTTTCCTAAAATATCATTTTCTAAAATATATGATAAAATTTTTATTAAATTTTATAAACATAAATTATTGTTTTTGAAAATATCAGAAAATATATAATTTAGATGAAATATTTTTAATTTCGAATTTAATTGTCTAATTTTATGGTAACCAAATCTATATTATTTACATAATATAGATTGTTATAATTATTATTATTATTATTTTTGAATTATTTTTTTGCTGTCTTTAATTCTGTTTGGCTACATGGTTGAGATTACATTTTATTTCATTTCTTATTTTTAATTCTGTTTGGTTTCACTTATAAAAAATGCTCCCATTTTAATAGTATAGATTTAAAAAAAATTAAAGCATTAAATATTTTTCCACCAATAAGGAGAGAGTGAAACCTTACTTTTTATATATACTAGATAATGTCCGCGCATATGCGCGGGTTGTTGTATATTTATTTAATTATTTTAATTTATTTATTACTTATAAAAAATAGATTTACATCCGTATCTTTTGAATTTATTCGTTGATTTTTTTTTTTTAACACTGAATACTTTATTAATTACCAGAAAAATCATTGTGAATTACATCAGAAATACAACTTGGAATATGCTGATAATAAGTAAACATAGGAACAACAGAACGCTGAAATTTTGCTAACAAATCAGCCGGGCGATTTGTTTTTCTTGAAACCCAACAATACTCAATATTATGAAATCTTGCCTCCCAACTACGAATTTCGTGAATCCAATTCAAAATATCAAATCGCTGAGAGTTGCCTTTTAAGATGTTCATCAGAATTTGATTATCTCCTTCAAAAACAACTTTTCGATGACCTTTAATCCAGAGATGATGCATAGCAGCTAGGAGACTTTGACATTCTGCTTCAATAGCATTGTTAACAAAAGAACCCGTAGAATGACCAGCCCCTTGAAAAACACCTTGATCGTCCCGAACAACCCAACCAATTGTAGCTTTTATTTGAGAATTCAAAAAACTTCCATCAAAATTGCACTTTAGCCAACCATACCTAGGCCTTTGCCAATTACCACTGAAATTATTGTTGATAGTATCACGAGAAGCATGGCAGGAATTTTTAGTACAAGTTCGCATATCAGCTTTCCACCAATCTTCAGTTTCTTGTCTTGCTTCTCGAAGATCCTTTTGCCAACTACGATGTTTCCTTTGGAAAGTCAGAACATTACGACTTTTCCAAATTTTCCAAAGAATCCAAATTGGCAAGTGGCTGAGAAAATCATATATTCCTTTATGTTTGTGATACTTGAAAATTTCCTTCATCTTCATTTCAATGGGAACATTGGGATCTGTTAAACAAGTTATAGGAACATTGGAAGCTCTCCAAATCTGCAAAACATGAGGACAATTAAAAAACAAATGCTCTGTTGTTTCAATGGCTAGAGTACACCTTTTGCATACTGCATCAGTTGAAATATGTCTCCGAACAAGCTCCTCTCCAGTAGCCAACGCTTTAGACAGCATTCTCCAAATAAAGTGTTTCAGTTTAGGAGCGGTACGAATTTTCCAAATGTCCTTTTTGAGAAGAGGATCACCAGCAGGAGGTCTAACATGGTGGTAATTCTCCGGAAGGTGAGTAGCTAACCAATACCCAAACTTGACAGTGTAGTTACCTTTTTCTGTATAATGCCAACCCAGATAATCTCTATTCTGACTTGGGCTAATTTTGATAGCAAGAATATGAGGAATATCATCCGGATGAACAAAATCTCTTATAACATCTTCATTCCAACCAGCCTTAAAAGGAAGAAAAAACTCTTGAACCAAAGGGGAGCTTGTCTGATTATGGGGATGTTTCCGAGGAGGCCTAGGGGGGTGAACAGGAAGCCAAGGATCCTCCCAAGTTTGAATCAAAGATCCGTCTCCAACAGTGAATCTCATACCACATTTCAGTAAATCACGACCTTGCAAAATCGATTTCCAACCAAAAGAAGGGCAAGTACCACCATTAGCATTTAAAATATTTGTAGAGGAGAAATACCGACCTCTTAAAATACGAGCCATCAAACAATTTGGATATTGAAGCACTCTCCAAGCCTGTTTAGCAAGTAAAGCAATATTGAACTTTTCAATATCTCTAAATCCCAAACCTCCTTCAGATTTCAAATATTTCATCCGATCCCAAGCAACCCAATGGAGAGAATGGTCGTGATCTTGATTACTCCACCAATAGTCTGCTATAATCCGTTCAATATCTTCACAAATACTCTTAGTGAGCTTGAAGCAATTCATGGTATAAACCGGCATAGCCATCGCTATAGATTTGAGAAGGATTTCTTTTCCACCTTGAGATAAAAACTTATTTTTCCAACCTTTAGTCCTTTCTCTAACCTTCTCAACAATAAATTGAAACAACTCCACCTTTTTCCTGCCAAATTGCTCTGGAAGACCAAGGTATTTACTACAGCCACCATCATTGTAAATTTGAAGTTGTCTCCTGATCCGAGTCTTAACCGAAACTGGAACCCTCTTACCAAAAGTTAGAGCCGATTTCTGTTTGTTAACCTTTTGACCAGAAGCCTTCTCATACTGAGTTAAGATATCTTGAATTGCAGAAACAGCTTTAGTATTAGCCTGACAAAAAAATAGGGAATCATCTGCAAATAAGAGATGACTAATAGAGGGACAATTGTTGCTAATCTTGATTCCTTTTATAAGACCATTAGCTTCAGCACGCTTCAACATATGGCTCAGAACTTCAGCACATAAAATAAATAAATAAGGAGACAAAGGATCGCCTTGTCTTATTCCGCGCTCTGGTTGGATGTGACCTATCGCAGACCCATTGATGTTAACCGAGAAAGTAGTAGAACGAACACAAGTCATGATCCATTTAACCCACATTGGATCAAATCCAAATCTGAACATAGTTTCTTGCAGAAAATCCCATTCCAATCTATCATATGCTTTTGTAATATCAGTTTTTATAGCCATGAAAGAATTGGCACATCTTCTTTTAACCTTCAAGGCATGAATAACTTCATGAGCAATGATGACGTTGTCCGTAATCATTCGACCAGGAATAAAAGCTGATTGCTCTTCAGAGATGATACTTGAGAGATGACCTTTTAATCTGTCAACCAGAACCTTGGATATGATCTTATACCCAACGTTGCAGAGAGCAATAGGTCTGAAATCTTTCATATGACTAGCCGCTTCAATCTTGGGGATTAAACAAAGATTAGTATGATTAAGAGAACGGTCAAAAACACCCTGATCAAAGAAACCCTGAACTTCCTTAGTTATAGTATCCTTAATATCATCCCAATAAATCTGATAAAAAGCAGCTGTGAAGCCATCCGGCCCCGGAGATTTGGATGCTCCAATAGAGAAAACAGCAGCTTTAACCTCATCTTCTGAAACTCTTCTAGTGAGATCCATATTCATAACACTTGAAACCCGGGGAAGGAAGCCATTAAAGACATGAAAATGGTTATTCTGGGGGGATAATTCACTTTTATAGAGATTAGTGAAAAACTCTTGAGCCACATTACCAATATTAGTATCACCTTGATGCTCAACATCATTATCATCCAAGATCGAATAAAGCCTATTGCGAGAAGAACGAATCTTAGCACTAGAAAAGAAGAATTTAGTATTACGATCCCCTTTTTCCATCCAAGTATTTCGACTTTTAAGACGCCAAAATTCTTCTTCATCTTCATAAGCCCTGCTAAGTTTACTCCACAAATCTTTAATTTGCAAGGTAGAAGAACCATTAGTATGAGCTCTATCAATCTGGTTTTTAAGCAAAGCAATATCTTCTTTAGCATTGTATCTGTGACGGCGTTTCCAATCAGTTATTTCTTTTCTGCATTTAATCAACCGAGAACTTATACCAGACCACTGATTTACACTTGAGTAGTTCCAACCTCTCCTAACTGCATCATCAAACCCATCACGATGAACCAATCTGCTATCAAAACAAAACTGACCTTTATGATGAACAAAATCATTCGAGATGGTAGTAATCACAGGCCTATGGTCTGATTCAATGAATTCCAGAAATTCCATATGAGATGCTGGATATTGCGCTAACCATTCATTATTAGCCATTGATCTATCCAGACAACAAGCAACATCGTGACTGTGACGCTTACCAACCCAACTGAACGGATCACCACTTGCATTCAGATCCTGGAAATCACAAATTTGTATCATACGACGAAAATCAGCAAAAGAACTCTCTGGACGTAAAGGGCCACCCTTCTTCTCATTATTACTCTTAATTTCATTAAAGTCACCAATAGCCAACCAGGGACCAATTCTGTTGGTTGCAGTACGTTCTAATCTTTCCCAAACCAAGTGTCTAAAGGATGGATTTGGGTTACCATAGACACAAGACAAATAGAAACCAAATCCATTAACTTGAACATGCGTATCTACAAGGTTTGGGGAATGATAAAGAACAGAAACAGAAATACTACTTTTCCACAATAAAGCTACACCACCACTCAAACCAACAGGGGGGACTGTGAAGACATTATCATAACCCAATTCAGCACACACATCTTGGACCACCGCATCCTGCTGTTTAGTTTCCATGAAGTAAATGATGTCTGGAGAAAAAGTCTTCTTAATCTCCTTTAGACGTCGAACTGCGAGGTCATTACCTAATCCTCTACAGTTCCAAGCGGCTGTCCTCATGGGGGAAGAGGTGGTTCAGGGCCCACCGCGCCTCGATCAAGTCCTTTGTGATGAGTAGACTCATCAGTGGTTCCACTACTCTCTCCTGCCTCTCTGATTTGCACTTTCTGGTTAGCTTTATCTTCCTCTTCATTTGGGAGATCATCCCTCTTACGCTTACCACTTCCTTTTGGAGAAACAGAGCTTGATCCAGAATCAGGAGAAAGGGGAAGGCGAGGATAAATTATATCCGAGTATCTTTGGAAGAGCGCAGCACTTCCAGTGACCGTAGGAGAATGGTCATCTGCATCAATTCTAGCCAAAGAATCATGATTCGGATCAATGTCATCAAGGGCTGCATCATCAATCTCTTCAACAACTTGCATGTCATGGTGAGCAACATCACCATTAGGTTCATTTGGATCAATCTCACGAATGATCACACCCGGGTTTCTGTTGACAGGCGGGGGAGGCATCTCTTCATCATCATCATCTTCATCCGGAAACGGTTCTCCTCCTCCATTTTGAAGAACACAGGCACCAGTATCATGGGTCATCATGCCACAAACTTCACAAAATCCTCGCAGACGTTCATAACGGAACCGAAGGAGAGTATTGATACCAACTTGGAACTGAAATTGTCTTTGAAAACGCAGAGGAAGGAGAATATCCCAACTGATTTGAACACGAACAAATTCCACACGAGCAGCCGCTTCCCCATCATAGTCAACTTCCAAGAGGTTTCCAATTGAACGACCAATATGAGAGATAACCTCTCTGTTGAGAAACTGAAACGGGATTCCTCTGATTTGAACCCAAAACGGAATGAAATTGATAAGAGGTGGATTCTCAAGAGGATACCATCGTTGAAGCACCAACAGTCTGTCATTGAAAGCCCAAGGACCACGCCTTAAGACTGTTACCAGAGACTCCTCCGAGGGGAAAATAAATTGGAATTGGTTTCCCCCCACAATGCGACCATGAACAAGACCAGATTGACCCCAGACCCGAGGCATAGAAGCAATGATTGACCGCAAATTCTGACGACGAGGCATCACCGGTCTACCCATGAGGATAAATCTGTTCTCAGCAACCGCGTTAGCCACAACATCCGCCGGAATCGCAATCGGAACATCATCAGCCCTGAGGTTGATGTCTTGAACTGCTCTTCGTAAGTTATCCGCCATTTTCACAAGAACGTTGTAAAATCTAAAAGGGAAACCAATCGCACTTGAAATAGAGAGTGAGATAAGAGAATAGAAAGGATCCAGAGATCTATATAAATAAGAATCCCCCTGCATGTCAACTTCCAACTCTGCATCACGAAGTGGAGAGATCCACAACGTGGAGATAACCGCCAAGCAGTTGGGGTAGAAGAACTGAACCACTACGCCGGCGCAACCATCAAAACCCGTTACAAAAGGGACAAGAAACAAGATTCGTAGGAAGGAAATCACCCATGAAGACACGATCTCCTTGATCGCACAAAGAATCGCCATCCTAGATCGCACGATGATTAATAATTTATTCGTTGATTAATTGTTCAATTTTGATAGTAATTTTCTTTAGTGCTTTTAAGTATTTTTTGATAAAACAGTAATATTGTTAATGATAAAAATAGGAACGATATTGGGAGAATTTAAAAAATACCACTTTTTAAATTTACCCCCTTTTCAAACTTTATCAAAACAACCACTAAAAATGTTAAAATTTATCCATATATGTGTATAAACTTATAAATATACACACAAATTACCGTTATTTGTGTATAAAATTTTATTTGTTTCAATGTCTTACAAATTGGTTTGAATATAACCAACAATTATTTTGTTAAAATAATTACATACTTTGAAAATAAAATAAATATACATGAATTTGTGAGAAAGAAAAAAACATATAAAGTAAAACAATGAAGATGGTTTATTTAGCTTGATTTTCTTATTGTGCGATGGTCATAAATCAATATTTTTGAATCCCATCGATAAAGTAATTTCCTTATAGCCATAAAATATTATTATACATATATATTATATATTTAATAGTATAGAAAACAATGAAAAAATGAAAAGTACATAAAATAAAGAAGAAATATAATTGAAAACAAAAGTTTTAACCAAATATATAATCAAGCTCTTACAATGATATCTTAATTGAGCTTTCAACCTACGCAAGAACATTAAAAATTAAACAAAGAAAATATTGAGAATATCATATATGGTGGAGGAGGATGTAAAAAAGAGTATTTATAGGATAAAATATGATGTAAGTTATAATTCTAAAATAATTAAATTAGAGGAGTTATAATTATATTTTATAGTGTGTTAATTGAAATTGAATGGAGGAAACAAATAGTCAATTGAAAAGTTATATAATTTAAGTTACAATTTAATAGTAAAGCGTGGATTTCAAGTATGAATTAAAGTATATGACTAAATGTGTTAGATATTTGGTTTAATTAAAAATAAATATTACAATTAAAAAATAAACTAAATGGACCAATAAGGAGAAACCTTAAAAATTCCCAAAGAATAATTTTATTTTTTAATTTGTTTTTATATTCCTCTTAATTTAAGCTATATCTCTATGTTTAATTATATTTTTCATCGTTGTAGTATATATAATAGATAGAAAATTGAATATCAAATTGTTTTTTATATAGGAAGTCAAGTATAAAATTCAAAGTTAACAAAAATTATAATGTTGTTTATATTATTACATGTTGAATCACAAACTAAATATAAGGATCATTATTCTTAAAAGAATGTATTACAAATTGGTTTGATAATTATATAACAAAAAGTTTATTTTGTTAAAAAATTACATACTCTTGAAATTAAAATAAATATACATGAATATGTGAGAAAGAAACAAACATCCAATGTAAAATAATGAAGATGGTTTCTTTAGCTTGATTTTCTTATAACCATAAAATATTATTATACATATGTATTACATTTAAAAATATAAAAAACAATGAAGACATAAAGAAATACATAAAAACAAAAAAATAAATAAAATTGAAA